GGGGTAGGGGTCTTTAGCAGTTGGGCAGGCGACCTTACTCCTTGTCACGTACAACCGGGCAATCGAAACCACGCCAGTTGACTCAATGACAGACCTTATGACACAGCGCGCACATGTTAACCATTCGGCAATCCAAACCCCAAGGAACCAATAACATTGTTTCCAAATGGTGGCATCAAAAACTACCTGGTTAAGGCCATCTCCCTAAATTGACCCTGCCGCAATATAAAAGAGATTCTTAAAAGAATGTAGACTAAAAAATGTAAAAGGAAACGTGACTTTTATTTTAAAAACAAAAACAGGAATTTCAAAGGACCCAGGAACAATTTTGAATGATGTGTATGCCATGCGACTTATAAACTTTTATGTACAGCCTGCGTAACTAACCCGACAAACTATACACACTCTTTGAAAAAGCCACAGCGAAAGAAATTGCCTCTTACAGGATATTATTTATACTAACAAACTAAATGAAAGCTAATATTGTGGTGCTGTAATCGATTAAAATGGAAAATCAAGTCGATTATACAAAACAAAACCGAAGATGGTCACCACGCACACCAAATGACTTGCCATTTCGTCTTAAACCCTGTCCATAAGGCTAATTATTCTGACTCAAGTTGGCCCAGTACTCAAACTGACATATAAATCCATAATGGATTTAACGAAACTAGACATTTTACAGAATCAATATACTTTTAATAGCAGCAACAATGTTAAACATGCATTATGCAAGAGCTAAATCTGCTTATTGCAGGTCTTTCTTTAGGCCTGAAATGTTATCTAAATTATTAATTAGACATTAATTAACTTATTCAGACCATAATCAGCTCTCGATGCCATCGTTAGCCTGTGATATTTAGTGGATTTGAATACATTTTGTGATGGATAATTTAACTTAAAAATGGATAATCGAGACTTGGTTTATTATCGCCCCAAATTTAGTAATGACGTTCGAGGCTACCCTAAAATTGAATCTCCAAGATCTCGCTTCAGAGTAGAGCAATTTGACTAAATATTTCAGCATATTCTTTTTTCATTATCTGTTTTTATCTATTATAGCGAGAATGGACAGCTCTTTATCTAATCTTACCTAATGCCCCTTTAATATAGATGCAGTATCATATATTTATTAGATACCAAAGTTTCATAAAAAAAAAAACGTTAAAATTCCGATAGATCGTATCCTCTTGTAATTGTCAAACTATACCTTCAGCTTGACCCTTCAGCTAATACAGCAAACGATTGGATTGTCAATGGGATCCAGTCTTGTCCCATGCCTGGCCAAGCTTTCGCAGTAGTTAGAAGTTTAAATTATATATTTCGATACATTGATGACATAATGCCTATCAACGATAATGGATCTAGTACTAAAAAAGAAAATACTGATGGTATAGCACGGATAGCAGTACGGATCTAGTACTGAAAAAAAAAAAAAGGGGGCGATAGCTGTCTCTGTTCTTGACTCTGATATCAATATGATAAATTTAATGTGGGTATTTTCGATAAACGGACAAATTCTGTTTGTCATAAATTTGGATTGTTTTAAAAGTTGTAAAATACCCCATCTGGTATGTTATTCCGATTTTTAATAATGTGTAACGATAATGGGCTATTTATTTCCAGAAATACAGATAACTTCATCGTTAAACAGATAACGAAGCCCAACACCTTCGTTAAATATAACGAAAAATTCTCTCCCTTAAAGATAACGATCCGTTAAATCAATCCATGTTAATGAGTTATTATGAGAGGGGGGGGGGGATGGCCGAATGGGTAGCACGTGCGCGCTGTATCATAAAGCCTGTCATAAAGCCTGTCATTGAATCAACTGGCGTGGTTTCGAATCCCCGGTTGTACGTGACAAGGAGTAGGGTCGCCTGTCCAAGCTCGTGGATTTTCTCCGGGTCCACCGGTTTCCTCCCGCTGCTAAAGACCCCACGCGCAAGCGAATTATTGAACTAAAATTAAACCATATGTTAGTCCCGAAATGACATAGTTTGTGTGGAGTGGACGTTAAACCCCATTTGTCTCTCTCTCTCTTTCTGTTATGGAAGATTAGATAAAGAGCTGACAGTTCTCACTATAATAGTTAAAAACTAAATAATGTTAAGGGAATTTTCTGAAAATGTCAGTCAAATTGATCCACTCTGAACCGAGATACAGCTTTTGAATTTTAGGCCTAGCCTCGATCATCATTACTAAAGTCGGTACGATAAAAAAAACCATAGTCTCGATTATCCATTATTTTTGGATTTAATCATCAATGAGCGTTGAGCAGCAGATCGGGTTTAAACCCAGTAAATATCGCAGGCTAGCGATGACATCGACAGTTGATTATGGTCTGGATAAATTAATTAATGTCTAATTTATAATTTAGATAACATTTCAGGTCTAAAGAAAGACCTGCAATAGACATATTTAGCTATTGCATAATGTATGTTTAACGGAGCTTTGAACAACCTGTCCCTGGCCTATAGTTAATTTCACGTTTTCTGACCTTAACATTAGTTAAATTGGGAGAAAAAACCCAACAATGTTTCCAATACATTTTTATACCGGCTTTGGGGTAATAATTAGTAAGAAAGTGTAAATTATAAAAATCCTGCATTTAGGTGTAATGCTTAATTTACACACATGATTGTAAGGTGAAGTGTTACTGTAGTTGCCACCAGACTAAGTGTAAACTACAATATTATTTTTATACGCCCCATGGAAATGTGTACGTATATTGCCGTCGCCACTGTACGCCCGCCCGCCTGTCGGACGGTCCGTCCGTCCACATTTTTTTGTGAACGATCTAACTCCAAAAGTTATTATCCGATTGTTTTAAAATTGATATATGTAGTTTACATTAGCGAGATGAAGAAGCATGTTAAGTTTTAATAATTTCTGTTCATTAAAATTGTTAATGCTCGATTAATGAAAGTTATCATCCGATATGTATGAAATTTATATACATCATTTAAATTTTCGAAACAGAGGTCTTTTGGATTTCATCAATTTCCGTCAATAATTTCTAGAGTTATGGCCCTTGTTTTACTTTGTGAACCATGTGAATGTCTGCATGACAAAAGTGATCATTCTATCTGTATGAAATTTATATGCATTATTTAAATTAGTAAAACGAAAAAGCCTGTCAAATTTCAACAATTTCTGTAGACAACTTCCAGAGTTGAGGCCCTTGTTTCAGTTTGTAGAACCTTGTGAACGATCAAACGACAAAAAATATAATATGATCTGTATGGAACTGTCTTGTAAAGGCCCCCAATTACCTACAAAGGAATAAATATGCGACAGTTCTTGTCGACCGCTCGGATGATTTAGCTGCTGTGGGCGTATGTTTCGTTGCCTGGCAACCTATCTTTAACTGTGTAATTAATATTCGTGCGTATTCTATAATTCGCTTATATACTGTATAGGCTATATATATATTACGCATGTATATCTGTTGAAAAAGGTTCGGTGTACGTGGGTCTAAATGATCCACATGATTATTAGTAAAATAAATCGCAATCTGTCAAACGTATGTATCTATGTCTTCTATTGCACAGATAATATAATTCTGTTGCCATATCTTTAGAGTACAGAGAGGTTTTAATTGTCAACAGCTTTAAGGATTGAAATGCAATTAACTGGACATTCCAAATCGTACTGATAACCAATGAATGAGCATGAAGTAACGTTAACCATTTAACATGACCTACAACAAGGTAGTTGATTATTACTGACCTCGCGTCGACTTGCACATAATCATACCCTGTCCCCTTTAAACCAAGTGTACTAATAGTAAAACATCACTTCATACAGCCAGCATACCTCCATGCTCTCGTGTTCGTTTACATTTCTAACATAGGTCACTACTCAACTTTTATTTACCATTAACATTCAAAATGTCATAAAGCTATTTTTCGGAAACGCTTCAATGTTCTCTCAAAACATCCACAAAATGGACCGTCTCAAGTGCGTTTTATATTCTAAGAAGGCCACATTTTAAATTGTGCTTCAATTTTAAACTGCTACATTAAGCTGTCACGGAATTACCTACATGTATTACCAAGGATGCGTCATTCGTTACATACGTTTTTTGATATTTTAAAATCAATGTGCACAAAATAATTACCAGATATAAAGATAGCATATATTTAAAAATTCATTTAAAACTGTTTTAAAACCAATATATATATAAGGGAACACCGAGCGAAAAAAATGATGTGAATTAAAATGAATTATGAATATACTGAGGTCATCTCGTAGAGAATGTCGAGAACCAGATTTCAACATATCTTATCATGTTTCTAAACATCTTTATCACCACCAAGTGGTAATGTTATCATGTGATCTGCCATGAAATTCTTTTACAACATATATTATGAAACAGTTCCGCGATGTATATTACCGTCACATGGTTAGTTATTACGAAATAGTACCCGCGGTCATGTTTTACTGTTATTTTTTGTGAACTCCTTTACGATGCCATATTTGAATATCATAAAACTTAAAAAATAAACTTGTTTCACCTATGAAAAAATAACAAGGAAATTATTCTATAGATAACAATACACTCCTTTTAGTTGTATTAAAATAACTAAATGGATAAGATAGTTTAATCTCTAGTTAAAATTAACAATATTAAGGATGTTTTAGACATTGTTTATATTGTGGGTGTGTTCTTGTATCAATTAGATAGAATACCAGCGTGATGGTAATTTTAATCAACTCTACACGTAACACATGGTAATCTCATTCTCGTTCGAAAGATCAGCTATTACATTGTCTTATAAAGTATATATATTATTAAAACAAATTTAATTTCACTTTGTAAATTACCCGTTTTATTTAGATGGATCTACTTTTATGCATATATATATAGGTGTAATAAAAAAATATTTTTTAAGTACGTTTTTAATGGCATTAGAATGTTTTGTGTTTCGATTTTCATAGTGGTATACTTCACCCCCCCCCCCCCAAAAAAAAAAGATATCTACAAAGTAACTTACCGTTAATGACTTAGAAGTTGCGGTCAATACACTCAGTAAAAATAAAAGTATAACCGCCAGTATTTTCATTTTGGTTACTGAAATAATCAGAGGCACGTATTAGTCAATCTAATGGTTATATAGAATTAACACGACAACAACTTCTGAGGTTTAAAATACTTCTAATGGAATGACTAAGGAATCAACATGTTTTTATATTTAGATACTTAGTCATGATTTTTTCCTTCCTTATATTAAAAGGTTCACAGACCAAGTTTTTCTTTAAAGTAATATATTATATTAAATTGAAGAATGAATTGAATTCTGTATCCCGTGGACTGTGGACAAGAATGAAATAAATATGTGAATGAACAAGATGTAGGTGTGTAAATGAACCGCTCGTATTTCATCTCATTTGTAATAGACACATAATAATAATACGGGTAATATAAGTAACACATTATGGCAATATATTTCTAGTCTGAACACTGGGGGGATTTTAAATCTATCCAAGGTCATTTATTGGTTGAACCCTGATAATGGCTGGTCATATGAATGCAATTTCACACAGATATTGAACTCATAGAGGGATTGACGGGTTGAAAGATATAGAATCGGAACGATATTAATTATTTATTAAAGCTGACATTACAAGATTTAGTAAAAACGTCATATGAAGAGATCGGCACGATAAGACATCAAATTCCCAGACAACTATCTAATATCTGATTCCAGTGCAGGGCATCCGTTATTTATGTGAGAAAATGACATCTGTTGCCTTCCAAGAAATCCGTTCTGGTGTGATCTAGGTTGAAAATAAATCATGAATAGCCATTGATCTGATCAAGAAAGTGCAATATGTTTTGTTTGATTTAATTATAATAATATCAACTAAAAAAAAACCAAGTTAGATCACGAACGCTGGCATCTTTAAATGAACGCGAAGTGATATCCCGCCCATATCAACTTTCACCTATCATCTGTTTACAATTTATTTATTACAGAAAAAGTCGAAGATCCGGTTCTATATTTTGGTATAAACGAAATTAAATTTCACTGGAGATAATAATCAGATATAAAACCTTCCAAAACAAGTTGAAATTCTAATTAAAATCCCTTGATACGGAGCATGGTAAATCTCAACCATACCCATCAATATCTATATAGCCGTATAAACGAATGACACATTCACAACGTCGTCTAAAATCAATAAATAATTATAATGTAGATAAATCGAATTGGATATATAATTTCAGCAAATAAGGGGAAAATACACGTTATCAAAAAAATAAAAAAATACCGGGATAATAAACTTACCGTTTTAAATATGGATAATACACGAACTATTCCTCTAATATCCTATGCGTTTACTCCGCAAACAGTGGATTATTATTATCCAGTGTTTTTAAAATTAAATCTGGTTCCCACTTGTTTGTTAATTCGATGTTACAGTAGTTACTAAAGCAATAAATCCGATTATTCTTTTAAAATATTATTCAAATAATCCATCGTTATGATAAAAAAAACAATCGTTAAGAATTCCGTAGCGGTGTCCAAGATTTGAAAAATGTTTCAATAAATGTCTACAATCCACAACTAGGTGCCAAACTAACGTCTGGTTTATTTAACTCATTAGAAATTCAACTCTCTTCTATGATCTGAGGTAGAGAAAAGCCAGCCAATGTATAGAATGTATCCAAGCTTAGTATGAATACGTTGTATTGACTTAGGACGAAGCCTTAATTTGAGTCGACTGATTTCCGTAAACAGTAAACGAAGGCAAAGCGTAAATTTACGACACAAACCTGTATTTAAGGAGAGATGAAAAAGGTTGTTGTAGGATGGTGTTTTGTTGGCAGACTACCCATTCCCTCAACATTAGCCCCACCCTATCACTATGGTGTTGTTGAACAGGTCGATTTTTGGCGGTTTTGTTTTCATGTCACATCGTCACTGAACAGACGATAAAAACTACCTAAACAACGAGATTTATGAGAATTAGAGAGAAAGTTTTCTAGAGATTAACTTGTGATCCTGTTGGGGTTATAGCATCCGTCACAGCTTTGTGAATGTCTGTACGTCCCGTCTACCCGGCACCGACTATCAACGACTGTGTTTGTCTATCAGAGCAAAAACATGTCTAATACTAAAGCTTTACTTTTGCAATTCTTAGCGTTTATATATCATGGAACAAATTCACAGTGTAGATGGTAGATACAAATAATACAAAAGAACACACTCGGCAGCAAGAGTTGACACTAAGCGTAAAGTTGCACAACACCCGCGTCTAAAAACGTTGATGCTAAACTAAGTGCCATTGATTAAAACTCTGCTACAGTTAAAATCGAAGTTATGTGGTTGTGAACTTAATTTCAACATTTCCCGATTGCGAGTAAATGTGTATTTTTAAGTATTAAAATACTATCTCTGTTATCATTTTATTATCTGTATTGTATTTATTTTCAGTCGCTTTATAATAAAATATGACGTTCATTATTTTCATAACTTACGACATTGCATAGTCCCTTTTAAATGTAGACAAACATATGTCTGCTGAAAAATGTTTGGTAAAAGCGGTGGGGAAAGGGTATCCAATCTGCATAATAACTAGAGCTCCAGCGAGCTTCGATCGATGCCAACAGGGGGATTACATTTTTAATACCCAAATTGCTTGTAAACTCTACACTCTATATAGTTGTATTTAATAATTTTAAAAAACGCTCTACGAGCCGAACAGTTTTTGAGGTTTATTTTCAAACTTTCTTGGTTTGTTCGGCTAGTCATAAGATGGAATCGTGACAATTAGGAACGAATGCAATTACATGTGATTTTGTTTGATATTTGCTAAAAGTAAACGAGTAAAGTTCCAGATTACCACCAGAAGTTTCGGCATTTTTTTGTAAAAATTTCCACAATGCCACCAATTATGTGTGCTTCCCCTTAATAATAATTTTAAAAAAATAAAATAGAATTCCTTGCGTAATAAAGGCGTCACACATTTTCTCCCAAAATTCTATGAACATAACTATACATACGTTCATGTTCGCAGAAGTAATTGACACTTTAGTTCACTTCCGGTTGGCTGGAGCCATAGTGGTGATGAATTTTTAATTTAAATAAGGAGATTCGGTGGCGCAATGAGTATGACGTTGGCTCGCTAACCGATCCCGGTGTTGGCCGACAAAGTTCATAGGGTTCCCCCTTGTCAGTGGTGCAGGACGAATGGCCTGGCAAGGAACAATCTATAGTCATTCGGGTGAGACAAAAACAAAAACCTGAGGTCCCGTGTACACATTGGCATGCGCGTAAAGTAACCCTTGACAATTGGAGTAGGCAAATAGGAGTAGGCAAAATTACCCTCATTGTACACTATCTTCATTACCATCTACATTAGCCCAGTCGGTCCAAAATAGCGGGACGTTAAACCCCATTTCATTTCATTTAATTTAAACAAACTACTACATTTTTGGATCCCGTCTTCAAGAGCCCAGTCGGAACAGGAGAGTAGGACGTTAAACCTCATTTCATTTCATTTTCTAGATCCGTTTGAGTACTTTGCTTCCTACCCAGTGTTTTGGACAGTATTCTGAGTGGGCTTTATAGAACGATCTGTTCAAATTGATTTGCTTCCGTTTATCACATTAGTTTTGAAGGACTTTAAGGGGTGAGTTTAAACATTGTCTTGTGCCATTTCTAATCTTCAATTATGTCGGTTTAAATAACACTGAAAATTTCATCTACAACTATGTCGTTGATCTTTCATTGATACCGCTTACTTGGATACAGTTCCGTCAACTGTATTGGCAGACCCGTAAACTAGTGAGGGGGGGGGGTAAAGCCCCCCTACACAAAAAGTTTCGCCACCCCCCCACCCCTTGTCAAAAAATTGTCAACCTTTAAAACAATAGATATACATTGTCCGTCAATTTTACAGCACCCCTGAGAACACTTCAGCCCACACCCCTCGTTGCTCTGACCTAGTTACGGCCCTGTATATTGGTCGAAATCGTCATAGCGTTGGCTTACCGTTTGCCATACCATTTATCCGTGGCGCGAAGTCCACAAACAACTAATGTATTTGTCAATCTGTTCTATCAGAATAAGTTGAATCATAGGTTAGATAGTAATCACCACTTTCGGTTTTTCATAAGTCCTAGGTAATTCACGAGAGACATCATTAAGAATGTTTGTAAACGCTTTCCAAGTAATTGGACTGGATGAATGTGGGGCAGGGGTACAGCTGGGTTATTAAAAGGATATTGGTAATTAGTCATTTGTAAATAATCTTTGATGCTATGATTTGGCTATGGGCAAGATTTTGTATATAAAAGTTGGTAATAGTGCCCTGTCGGAATTTACTCCTTTTCAGAATACAGCATGTTATGTTAGATAACAGGTCTGTTTGTGTATGGAATAGTGACGTTGAATACTTTATTTTCATATATTTCTTTAATCCCGGTAGTTTTGGTGATTTGATGTGTACTAATGAATTTATTTATTGTGTTTTAACTTCAATAATAAAGTTTGTTCTTGTCTGAAAATGTATAAATCTGCTTTTAAAGGTGTCACGACTCGCGCCCTAGTGTGCTGAACTACGTCATTTGAACAAATACCATTACGCATTACACTCTTACACAATATCTATAGTATTTGGTTGAAATCTATAAAGAGCTTTATAGGAAGAAAAGGAAATTGTCCGAAAAAAAAAGTGATCTTATATGTTGTCGATGCTTCGAGTAAATCTTAAATCTACAATATTAACGATCGACCGGACCTGGGGAAAGCCCTTTTGAGTTGTTGGCCCTATTGGTTAAAAACGAGAAATTTAAAACGTTAACTAGACAAGAGCTGGTTGGCCTAATTATTAATACTGTTTTTGGATTTCCTTTTAATATTCCCAGATATTAGCCAATGTGACTCTTAGAAAAGTCGGACTACCGACATTCCTGGAACGAGTGTAGGCTAACTATAAACGAGAAGCCATTCATTGGATGATGGTATGATGACAGGAAACAGCGACCGCCCTTGTAGTACTCCTTGAAATCCCCAGTCGTTGGAAACAGTTGAACTAATTCATGAATTTTTACCAATATCTAAACAACAGGAAACGTTTCTAAAAGTGGATAGACGGACGCGACGGGGGGGGGGGGGGTATTAGTTAGCCCGATCAGGTAATAACTTACGATGTTACGGGTTATTTTTAATTCTAAGACAATATTATTGGGTTAAATAAATTACTTTCAAATTTGAACTCATCGAAGATCTAATATAATATACTGAAATCAAAACCAAAACCCTCAATGATAAAGGGAAATTGCTTAAAAATTATTCACATAAATTTACAGCAGATTGGAATAGAGAAAAGCTATATTTACTTACGTTGGGGACGATATATAATTGCGTTCATAATCGGATTACAATGTTTGAGTATTGGTTGTCAGCCAGAGAGAATTGACTATCTTACTAAACGTGGGATGTATAATAAAAATCCGATGTTTTATGCATCGTAGTACATGTAGTAGGCCTACAGTAGTTTTAAACATACATTATGCAAGAGCTAAATCTGATTATTGCAAGTCTTTATTTAGGCTTCAGATGTCATAGAAATTATAAATTAGATCTTTATTTACACAACAAGCACAAAATCAACTCTGTAGACCCACGGATGGCTTGGATTCAGCTTGGATTTAAACGGGCTTCGTTGACTGATTTAATTTTAAATAGCGTCGTGAGCGGAGATTAACCGTTACGTTGACGTCATACTCTCGGATCGAGGCTAAATGATAGAGTGTACGAAGCGAGGCCGCTGTTGAGCGATGCCTTAACAAATGACATCTAAACTATTTAAAGTGCAATAAACTAAACACAGATAATGAAAAATTATACAATTCCTGGAGACCGTGTGATGACTAATACAGACGGACAGGTCTTCTGTCTTAATAATATCAATAAAAATATTTGTATTTCCCCAATAGGCACGACGCCACTGGTGTATACCTATAGATTTATCGTAATTATATTATAATATTATGTCCTATATTCAATTGATTTAATGCATGCCCAAAATACAAGTAAGAATGAAAATTTACCCTCTCACTCATTTTGTCCAATTGTTATAAAAATCCAAAAGGGTAAAACACAAATTCGGATATGATGACAGCAGAGAAAAAACAGCAGAGATTATGTAGGTGGAGTTAACGCCTGTCAATCAAACGATCAGCCATACTAAGAATCGGTGAAGATGGAATTCAATCTCATTTCTTGTCAAAAATTACACTTGTGATAACTATGTTCAGAATAAAGTAATTTGACTGAAATTTTCAATATATTCTTCTTTCATCATCTATTTTTGAACTATTATAGCAAGAATGGCTAATTCCTTATAAAAATCTCCCATAATGTATCTTTGATAAATTTTAAATCTGTATAAAATAAAGCAGTTTTTATAAATCCGTATAAAATACAGCAATTTTAATAAAGCTGTATAAAACGCAGTAGTTTTATTAAATATTTTGCGGAGGAACAGTACAATGTAAAAACAGATATACTCATTTTCAATAGTTTATTTTATATCAGCCAGGGGCCAAAACCCTCAAATATATTAAATCTGTATAAAATACAGTAGTTTTAATAAATCCGTATAAAATACAGTAGTTTTAATAAATCCGTATAAAATACAGTAGTTTTAATAAAGCTGTATAATATTAAAAGCAGTAGTTTTATTAAATATTTTGCGAAGGAACAGCACAGTGTGCAAACAGATATACTCATTTTCAATATTTTATTTTATACAAGCCAGGGGCCTAAACCCTCAAATATATTTAAGGCAGTGGCTATTGTTGCGACGAGTCGTAAAAATAGTCCTCAGGCTATTGTTACGACGATGCTTTCACAGCCCTCCATCGGCGAAGTTAAAACTGAATAGTCGTAAAAATAGTCATAACCAGAACCCTAACCCTTCCCATCTCTTAATTGCTGCCCTCAGTTCTGAAAACGTTGAAAATACTGCTCCTTTTTCAAAGCTGATGTTGGGGAGATTGGCAGCCATTTTGGAATTCGTTCTTAACTTGGCCCAGACTCGTCGTAACAATAGCCACTCTGTATATTTAATGCTGTAAGTCTTAAAGGGACATAACATGGTGGATTTCTTTGTTTATTTCTTTATAATTATACTTAAATTTTAGAAAAAATAATAATGAATTTAATCAGTTCAGTAGTCGACGAGAATAATCTAATTTTAATACATAGACGATCCACCATTATGATACACTATTTGATAGTAGGACACTTTTAACCTTGTAGGTGAACATCACTAAAACTTCATATCCTTTACACATGGAAGAAAAATTTCATGCTTTGTCAGTCTCGGGACTATATTTACCGATCATTGCGAAGTTGAGGCTATATAATGGTATCAATAATGACATATATCTATAACGAGGAACAATTTATCGTAACAAATTTTTAGTATTATGTCCCTTTAAAATAAACAAATAATTCACTCGGTATATCTTGTTTTAGAAGTTACAGATGTGGATACAATGCCGGATATTATTAGTTGCAGAACAATCCTTGAGTATTTCTATTTCTTGGTTTCTCCTTTTCTGTTATTTTTTGCCAGCATCTTCTAACATTCTGACCAATTGTCGTAAATAGTCATCACGGTCTGCTATTTTTGGCATTGATGCTGGTTCAGAACTCCCGTCATCTGAAGGAGAAAATGAGTTAATTTTGTTTTAAGCAATGTGACTGTTGATCTCTTGGCATTTGCTTTATGGTATAATGGTACAAGTGAGGGATTTGTAAAAGGATTAAAGTTGTACTACTATTACTACTACTACTACTACTACTACGGTTCTTTAACGTTTGCTTTAAAGTGACATCGCAGATTAAAATTGTAGTGTTTCTAACGATAGTAAGTAGTAAGATGTCTTTAATTTCATAAAATTGTAAAGTCACGTGGATCACGTGACTTTTGAGCATATAAAGATGAAAAACCTGAAAAACACGTGCAAACACAATAACTAATCTTAGAATGAGAGTGCTTCAAACTGGAACTATTGCCGACCGCCCAAGGGCGGGAGCGCCACGTGTGACGTCACTCCAGGAAGATCAAGCAATACGATTACGTCATCTTAGAAACAGATTTGTAACTGCAACCTCCACAACTAGAGAGATGTTTGGTGGAAGGGTAACTGCACAAACTGTTCGAAATCGCTTGCAGGCTGCTGGTCTTCGAGCTCGGAGGCCCTATAATGGACCAATATTGACACCTCTTCATCGCCGTAACCGACTTGTGTGGGCCACAAGACACATAAGATTTACTCAAAGACAGTGGAATTCGGTTGTCTTTAGTGACGAATCTCGATTCACTTTCAGATTTGCCGATGGCAGGGCCTGAGTGTACCGCAGACGAGGTGAACGTTACGTAACGTTAGTGTTAACTGCAAGGGAAGACAACTCTGTTTGGGAGATTGATCAAAGCCTTTAAAGTAACTCAACCTCATCCAAAGTCTTCGACATTGAAAACACGAATTATTTGTCAATTTAGATCAACTCTGATGTTGTGATCTTATTCTTATGCGTCAGAGAAGTTGACCGATTTGGTTTGGGATTCTTTTTGTGCACATGGATGTTCTCGTCTTGTTGTTGTCCAAGGGAACTTAAATGCTGTCCAGTACAGGGATCAGATTTTGCAACCTGTTCTTCTTCCGTTTATGCAGAGACATGGGCCTGGACTAACGTTTCAACAAGACCCCATACAGCAATTGCTACCCAGAATTTTTTAAGAAATGCCGGTGTCCAAGTCCTGGATTGGCCGTCGCTTAGCCCCGACCTTAATCCTATTGAACACATCTGGGACGAACTGGGTCGACGTGTTCGTCATCAAGTGAATCCACCCCTGACGTTGCAGGACCTTCAACATGCTCTTTCTGAGCAGTGGCGACGTCTTCCTCGGGTAGTGTTTACTAATGTTCTGAGATCCATGAGAAGACGTTGTGTGGCAGTACGAGACGCTAGAGGAGGCCACAACCGTTACTAAACACTTTATTCCGATTGTTCTCCAAGTCTGTGAATTTCATTTTGGGGGGTACTGTGACATCACGAACGTTATCAATGTCAAGGCGTATTCTTGCTTTCTGTTGCCTTAAACCAAATATTAAAAATCTAGTCCCAAAAATCCCGAGTGTCAAGTTTTTAATTTGGCTGAGTATATTTATATTTTCTCACAATTCTGTATACTTGTCCCAGACAACTATCTGGACCCCTGTGATACTTTTCGTAATAGTAAGTGCAGAAGGAGTGCATTAGGGTCAAATGAATGAATTAGGAGTGACCCTGTTCGTCCATCCGCCAGTCCCTTCTGGAATTAGGAGTGACCCTGTTCGTCTATCCGCCAGTCCCTTCTGTCAACAATTTGCTTGTGGACAGCTTTGTACAAAATTGGTGTGAACGAAGTAGTAATGAGAGGACGAACCCTATCGATATTCAACGTTCTTCGACTCATGAGTTAACGCATTTGCCGAAAGCATGTGAAAGAGGCCAGGGGAAGAAACTTATCGAAAAAACTTTCGGTCAGGAGTTACCACGTCGAATCTAAACCTTTGCCGAAAACAGTTTGAACGCGATATAGACTACGTGTGGAATATTGGGCCCTGAGAGGACGAACTCATTTGCTGAAAGCATGTGAAAGAGACCAGTTTTCAGTCATTTTTTTTTCTTTCAAATTTCACTGATTGGGGTCATGCGGGGAAGAAACCCTTCGAAAAACCTGAGAGGACAAATCCGATCGACATTTAGCGTTTCGAAACTCTCCATTCCAGAGTTAGGGGTGTAACTCTGGAACTTTTATTTTTCTAATGTTTTGTGAAGCACTGATGTGAGGACAAACTATTACAATATTCAGCGTTCCGCGACCTTTTAGTCCGGAGTTTTCGGGAATGCATACGGATACCTTATCAAATTTTGTCTGGATCCATGTTTTCCTATCGGATAAGCTGCTGTCTATGACTATCGTTTTCTCGAAACATGACTTCTCTGTGGGCGTATTTGCGTGGCTACATTTTTTTTATATTTTTGGCCCTAATATTAAGCAATAATTAGGAGTTACTTTCCTAAATCTCCCAGTTACTATCTCCTAAAATCTCCCAATTAGCACATGTGAATTTTTCAATTATTCATGTGGCCCTAAAACTTCCGTACGAAACTCACAAGATAAAGAAATATCAAATTCCAATTATTAGGTGGAATTGGGGACAAACTGGTTTGTCACTCGATGAAAAATTAGCTATTTCCTGACATTTGGGAATTTGTTTTGCATATTTAAAGGACCTGTTTTGGAGACCCAGTGACTTCTCCTTTAAACAGGGACTGCATTGGACCAATGATATTGAAGAGAGACGCTATCATGTGACATGAAAGGAAAAGCAGAGAGGCGTTGATAAACATCTCGCTTAGTGACCCACCGACAAATCTATGTCGACTGCAGAAGGGGTGTCAACAATCTCCCTTAAATCTTCAACCACATCCAACAGTGGCTATTCTAAAGCCCTATACTCTTTTATGTTTTCTTTAATGGGCAAGCGTGGTAATGTGAAGCTTCTCATTGTTGATAATGATACTGAGTCCCTCGCTAGCAATCAAACTGCAACAGTCGATTAATCTAGTCTTTCATGTAATAAGACTGGGTATTCTTGTATATCAGTGGGATATTTAGAAACTTGTCAACTCCTTAAAACCAACATAATCTGAGCTCGATTCAGATCTGCCGCTAACATATCTTAATGTTCCAACCATTACTAGCCCCATAAATAAGAGCATTCTTGTTGGTACTATTCCTATGCTCTTCAAATCAGCGGTTGTAAAACCTTTACTCAAGAACCATCCCTTGATCCAATATTTTCAGAAATCACAGACCGCTTTACAATCTACACCTTTCATACAAATGCAGTCAAAAAAGGCTTATTTGATCAACTTGTTTTATGAATTTCAGTCAGCTTGTAGACAACCTTACACAAACTTGATGTAACTATTTGACATTTCCGAAGCTTTTGGCATAATAGACCAGCAAAACTGCTTTTCCGGTTCTATGAAAACTTTGGTATTAATGGTAATGCTTTGAAATCGGTTAGATCTTATCTGTCTTTTCGACGTACACTGTCTAACATATGTGACATAAAATTGGCAACCCTTATAGAAGTTACCTGATCGAATAAATCTAGAAAACTGTTATTAATTTGTGGGCCGAAAGACATTGTGTGTCCAAAATTAACAGCCTGCACGCCGCCATTTTGATATTATTGGATTTATTACCCAATACAGAAGTGGAGTGGTGTTCTTTGGTTGTTTCTTGTGTGTTCTTATTTGGTAATGTGCTGTTTCTGTTTCTAAGTGTGGTTCCTGTTTCTAATTTGCAGGTAGTACATGATAAACACCAAACTTTTACACAAAACAGGCTTCTGTTTCTTGCTGTTTTTTTTTAATCAATCCGACCATCTGACCAATACCTTTGATATTCAGAACTATATCTCGATTTCCTGACTGATAACAGGATCATACAACATTTTTGAGAGTATTTCATTCATTTGTTACTAAATTCACAAAATCTTGCGGTTATGGTGACACTGATGCTGTCGCTCTCAGTAATTACTGATAATGAAGGCTAATGTGGGCTATTGCATGTTCTGTCTGTAATTAATATTCTAGTAAATAGATTTACGTTAGACAGAAGACATCTTGCCAGAATCATATTACTGTTATTAGTGTAAATAATTATGACCCGTGTGACCTTCAATTAAGAGTGAAGGGCGTGCCGTTGGACTATTGGAGACATTATACTTTCTCCGGGTTGTTCAAATGTCACATCGTCTAATACATCATACTTATAATTTCCAAATTTGTAATTAAATTGTAAGTCTTCTTTTTTAACATAATCAAAATACTGATATTTCTCTTTCATCATCTTGTAGCGTTGCTTTTTCACCAAGGGCGCATTTTGTCAATAATCCTACAAACCTAATATAATTTGAAGAAATTACCCAGATACTATTCGATGTATCTTTTTTCTTTCTATTTGTTTTACTCCACAACTAAATTGTAATGGCTATACATATTACGTCTCCAAATAAACAACACAGCAACTTGATCCATATTGCCACTCGTGCGTTTAAATAGCGTTCCAAAATTGTCAGATCATTACGACGGGATTTCAGTAAATGGTTATACACGAAGACCCCCATCCCTCAACGAAATAAATTAAAGAAGAAGCTCAGCCGCCCCAGATTTATTTTTTTCATTTTTTTTGTATTTAAGGAGCTTCATACATGTATAATCGGTGTTTCTGTTCGAGTGTATAAATTTGCAAATAAAAAAAAAAAACATAAGAGAGTGTTATTTTATTGACAAACATCGTTTACACTACCAGCTTGAACACCTGACATCACTTTTTACGGCAGTCTACCGGTTTGAACAGCAATATTACATAATAGTTTATCAGTTTAAAACTATATCTTGAATGTTTATGCCTCAATATTTAATGCAACTAACTACATAACCTATATCAAAATATATACTTACCATTGCTTTTAATGACTCTCTGCCATCTAACATCTCTAGGTTGAAATATATCATATGGCCCATAAAATCTGTAAGCTGATACAAAAAGAAAATAGATATAGACAATAAGATTAGCAGTAAAGCTATAGAATAAGCCATTTATTGTAATATTTATTACAACAGGGAATCTGACCAAAATGATTTTTTTCTGGAGTTGGTATGATGGATGTACAAGTAGTCGTTACTACTATGATAGAAATAACATTAAACAGATCATTTATAATTTTATATCTCTCTTGCGGCGCTCAGTTTGGATTTTTTCCGGTGTTTTTCTCTTCGAGTTTGCTTGGTTGACCACTATTGATTCTGGGTTCTTTTATCCATATTTCGGAATTTCTAGTAACAGGTGGCGTGATACGCCTTAACTTTCTAGAAAACCAAATACAATTTTAAGTCTACACAGACTTTGTAATCACATGTACAAATTGGTAGTGTACGTAAAAAATCCGAATTTCTTAGTTGGTTTAACTCAAAGAAGACGCTGTCAAGACGCCGCCGTCCGGACAAAATGAACCATCTCGCATTGCACATGTAACTGAAAGAAAATGTTTTATTTATCCTGTATCAACTTGGCTAATGAAGAATGGTTTTAGACAATGGAATGTGCTGTAAAAAAACTTCGTCCGGGTAGTATGTAGTAGTAGTTCTAATGTGTTGACCCCGTCTTCATTAGCCCAGTTCGGAGCAAAACAATAGGACGTTAAACTCCATTTCATTTCATTTCATTTCATTTCTAATGTGTTGACGGGAGGTTAAACCCTATTCAATGGTACTAATTTCGGACTGATCGAAACAATAGAATTATAAATATAAAACCGAACCTAAGTAGAACATAAAGATACTGACGAATGCTTTGTTCAAGTAGACCATAAACACGGGTTATGGTTATTGTATATAGTAATCATCAATGTAGATACCAGATAAATTCATTCTCAATAATTATTCTTCTTTTCAGTTTTTGACGGGCCAGATATTTCACACGAAAATTGAAATGAAATGAAATGAAATGGGCTTTAACGTCCTACTTTTCTACTCCGACTGAGCTAATGAAGACGGGCATACCATACAGTGTGCTATGCGGGAACGTTTGCCCGGACAGTCACGCTATGACCGACTCTTATTTTGAATTCAAACAGTCAAGCGTTCTTTTACGTGACCCCAATGTGTACACGGGACCTGGGTTTTTCGTCGCATCCGACCGATTATACGTTGTTCCTTGCTACCCCACCCCAAGTATTACACCACTCACAAGGGGGAACCACGCCAGAAAAAAAAACAGGGAACTTTTTCGGCAAACACCAGGATCAAACACGGAACCTCCAGGTTACCGAGCCAATCACTAAATTGAACTAAAGTTGAAAAGTTGAAATTCGATTAATTTTATTCTCCGCCATCCGATGATCTAGTGTGTTGATTACAGGCTTGTTATGTGAATAAATGTCTAAATAATAGTTTATATAACAACATATACTAATTCATTCAGTCCATTAGTAAATGTCTAATACGTCATGATAAAACGCATAAAGAGTTATTTTATTTTATTTTACGGGGGGGGGGGGAGGAGGAGGGGGGCAAATATTTCAATGGATCTTCACTCCCTCAATCACCCCACCCCCTTTATTTTATCTAATTATTCTTTATATTATCCTATGCAATCTTTAATCCTGTGCTATATTATTTGTTTATATCTTATTAATTGTAACTAATGGTGGCGGGCTAAACCGTTTTACTTACATATTGTTGTTTGTATGTGTATTCTAAGATTAACGTCATCATATAGATCAAAACGAGTGGGGTCTGGCTGACTGAGACCATTATTTGAATGACAAGTATACATATTTATTTTAATAAATCGACAAAATGGCAACAAATAGAATAATAAATAGTGCAATTAATTATGTAAAAGACAGGAATAAATAGGACACATCTTTAATGCATCAGAAAAGCACTAATTATTTTCCAAAGATTGGATTCTGGTTGATTAATTAGTGATAGATTACTTCAATTACAGGGAGTTAAATCAGGGAAACGTCACCATATTCCAGTTTCCTTCCTTTATCACCCAAAGCTGGCAAATAATAACCTAATACTATTGAATAACATCCCAATAATATCCACCAACTTGCCAGTACATTAGTGCAACGAATCTACGATAATTTACAAAAAAGCCAAAAAAAAAATAAAAATAAATAAATAAAAAAAAAAATAAATAAATTGAACTTAATCAGAAATAAAAACGGTTTTGTGTTTAATATTTTAGTTATAGCGTTTTATTAGTAAATTTCATTTTTTGCCTAAGTTTATTTATTGAACAAGGAACGCCTGGTATCTGAAAAAAGTAAAAAAAACCTTATGCATCTGAGTTACTAATATTGGTTTGAAAATTGGTTCCATCCATCTATATTTATTAAATAAAAGCTCAATAATAGTCATAGATCAGTAAGAATTAGACACACTAATAGTGGTCCAAATCGGCTTTGACTTTTGAATCCACTCATGGTACCATTCCGTCGTCATGAGGAGTTTACCACCGGATCACTTTCCTAGAGACCGTCTTTATTTACCAGTATTTGCAATATTGGAAACAAACCGAATGTCAATTTCCGTTTCCATGTTGGAACTTGTCAACCATTAGGCATTTGTGTTGTAGTACAATGGTTTTTGTGACCATATTGTATCTTTAACTAATTATTGGGTTCACCTATTCACATTATATAGAATCATATCTAATGCACTCAAATAATGAGTGACGGATTTAAACATAAAAATAGTTATAATTTGGTAAACATAGCTGGTTCAGAATATCATGTTTAACACGTGATTGGAAATTTACTAATTGCATCATGCACTGTAGCCATCCAATCAAATTAATTATTTACAGAATCTTAAATCATGAAGTAAGCAAATCTGTTAAAAAGTCCAAACCAGCCATTTAAGATTCAGATATCATTGGATTCCGGAGAGATTATCATCTGAGTACCTAGACCATATGATGTAGCAATTTCTATCAGCAGAGTCGCCCCAGCGAGTCTGGGTGGATTGGGATTGAGAGAATGACTTTATTGTAATCTATAATACATTGTACTATATGTATCCAGCTTGACATAAAAATGTAGAACTGAACTGTTCCATTGTTATTCCTGGAAAGACAAACGTATGGTGGCTGATTGGTATCATGTCGTAATGTCGTGATGTCGCCTTTCATAACGCGACAACCCGACAACCCGACAATCCGACATCACGACATTTCTACACGACAACCCGACATCACGACATTTCTACCCGACATCACGACATTTTACCCGACATTACGACACTAAATGTCGTGATGTCGGGTAAAAATGTCGTGGTGTTGTCGGGTTGTCGACTTTTATGTTATAAGCGGCCACGATGATATTCATAACAAAAAACTGGCAATTAAGAAAATGGTTGATCAAGTGGAAGTAGATTCACACTCACAGTGCAGTTTGAGTTGCATTCGTATCCATTTGTATACGTCCACATTCATAATGTGAACCGTCTTCATTAGCTCAGTCGGAGCAGAACAGTAGGACGTTAAACCCCATTTCATTTCATAATGTGAACATATTATGAAGCCGTCCTTGTCTGTGTGTCTGTCATTGAGTCAAGTGGTGTGGTTTCCAGCCCAAGCTTGTACATGACAAAGAGTAGGGTCGTCTGTCTAACCTCGTGGGTTTTCTCCGGGTCCTCCGGTTTCCTCCCACTGCTGAAGACCCCTACGCGCAAGCGAATTATTGAAATAAAATGGAACCATATGTTAGTCCCGAAATAACCTAGTTTGTGTCGAGTGGATGATACCCCTCTCTCTCTCTCTCTCTCTCTCTCTCTCTCTCTCATGATCAAACTCAGAATTAGCTAGAATCAAGGTTATTGTGTCCCAAAACATCGACCAATCAAATTGCTTATCTCTGCTTAGCCTTAGGAAAATCATAAATAAACAACAAGATTATGAACATGTTAACGATTGTATACAGAGTCAGTTAAAAGCCTGATTAAATAAATGCGTTTTAAGTTGTTTTTTAAACGAATATAGAGATGTACAACATGGTCAAGATATAACGCGACAACCCGAGATCACGACAACCCGACATCACGACAACCCGACACCACGACATTTTTACCCGACATCACGACATTTTTACCCGACATTACGACATATACCAATCAGCCACCATACAAACGTCTTAACTAATGACAAGATAAACGTCTTAACGATATAGTAAGAAGAAAATACACAACGTGAAAAGGAGGCCAAAGAAGACAATTGAAAATACTAGACGATCACAAGGCTATTTAAATATGTAGGATGTGGCGACCGGATTAGCTCGGCCCACTTTCCACGTCTGATAAAAGACCCATGAGACTAGTGTCAAGTTTGTTCGCTTATTAATATTTTACAGTTGTGCTTAGCAATAAAGAAAATTCGTCTTTTCATTTATTCATCCTCGTGATTATTATATATAGTCTGTTATAAACTATAGCCTCTATCGTGTTCACGGGGTTTTTGGAAAAAGGGGCGGCACGCTGAAAACGTTTCACACCAAATCTGAAAAAAAAATCCGAGTGGGCGGACAGTGTGGCAGCATTATATGAAATTAAGGGTGATTCTTGATGTGGGCCTTTAATCCTATTCCAAGAAAAAAAACAGCCCATTTTCTAACCTACATTTTCATATTATATTCCTTATCACCTTTCAGGTTCTTTGTGCCAAGAATTATGAACAATATTTAAGGTCTTTTTTTATGCAATATCCATTTTAAACCGACGTTGGCAATTTTAATACTTTTGTCTCACAAATTCCATGGTACCCCGTTTTCAAAATGCCGGCAGATTGTCTTTTCTTTTTTTGTTTGTTTCGAAAATGGAAAGATATACCTATAACAAACTTTCACTAAAATGTTTCCTGTAGAAATAAAGCGAGTTATAACCTGAGAAGTGTTACTTTGTAGCTCCAGTTATTATTAATATTAACCTATCCCGAATTTCTTAATTTCAAATGTTAGTCGAGATTGTGTGATAGTGAATTTGAACATCTTTTGACATTTAAAAATAAATTTTAAAAAATTTTTGACTGTAAAAATACATTATATTATTCACTTTCAACACTAAAATAAATGTAGTAGTTAATCGTTGTATACTCTTCAAAAAAAAGTAGGAGATATTGAAATGCAAATACCTATGCAGGTTGTGATATGATAAATAGTCATGGACACTTGACATGCTTTGAGAGTATGTTCACAGATGAAGAACTTATCGCCCCAACAGAACCACTGAGTTGCACATGCGACACGCAATAGCGTCATACACGTACGTGGGAGGGGTTCATTGTCAAATTTGACACTTCGAGGAAGAGTTGATGAAAACTGCAGCGTGCTGTTTTATCTATCCATGTTAGCATTCCTATCGGTTCTTGCATAGGATTTACTGTTTAGCGTATCTTTGCTTTTGTGTGTAACGTTTATTTTTATCGGGAGACGTCTTCGTCAACGTCAACCGAAAACACTGCAAGAACTGGCCGCGGCACTGCAAGGGGAGTGGGTCAGATTGTCCCAAATCATGATTGAACGGTTGATTAGGAGCATGCCACGACGAATTGCTGAATGTCTGAGGATTGGTGGAGCAATTACTCATTATTAAGACAAAAATCAAAAACGTCCATTTTCACTTTTGACGGTGTATCTCTTTGCGAGTGAAATGGGGCTGTCAGATAAGCCACCCATATGAATTGTTTATGTTCATGTGTAGGCAATCGGCCTGTTATTAACATACACTGGTTACCTCTAATAAAAACAGCAGTGCATTTCCGCAGTTTTGTATTGTTTCTGAATATCGCCTACTTTTTTTTGAAGAGTATGTAATACATATAAAATTAAAATTGTATATAAAATTATAAATCGAAAATCCAAGAGAAAGGCGTTTAACACAAGTCTTAGTGTCCGCTAGTCCGGCAGCCAAACCCCAGTTTAAGCCTAGACATGGAAATATCGCCCACCTTATGTTTTTTGATGATTATATATCTCTAATAGGTATAGATTCTTTATCCGGGTGAAGCAACCCTGGCGTCCTTGAGGAAATTTAAATATTCAAGATGATCGCAATGAGGCATTTTCTGGTTATTTAATTGGGTAAATTCCGGACAAATTCTATAACACCTCGATTTGAATGTGGTTTCTATAACAATTCGGCCCGCTGAATCAAATGGGCTTGGGTATCCCTCCCGAACGTGACGGCTAATTCCGGTACCCTAGGGGGGCTCATTTTGGCGGGGAAATCACAGAGTGCCTTATATGGATATGTAATATTAAAATATGGGTTTTCGGGGTCACTTACTTCAGAAATAAACATAAAAATATGTTCCGACCAAAAGGTATTCGAATATGACGGCTATACTCAAAATGCCGCCCACATTTTGAGGGACATTTCTATGTAAATAATATTAAGATATAATATGTCTAACAGTAGGTTTTCGGGGTCGCCGAACTCATATATGAAGGGCAAAATATGCCATGAACGAACGAAACAACAATATAGTTCTCAAATTCGACATAATATCTAAATTTAGGAGAGCATGGAAGTAAATAGTCATGTAAAACTTTCTCTATCAAAGGACCAACAGATTGATACATTGGCAGTTTCCCGAGCTTCTAAATGGACTTATATATGAAACGCAAGAGGTTTCAATGTTTACCACAAGAGAAGCTACGGAGAGTGAATTATGAAGCATACAAAAGGATTCACTATGAAACCCGTCGCGCCACCTTATCCACTAGAAAACAGAAAGGGTTGAAGACAAAAGGAAGGTTTGCCAGCGTGATACAAGGCCCCTTTTTTGCCTGCGCGTGTGGATGACCTAATAACTACAAGACAAAGTTCATTCCCGTTGAATAATACGGATGGAAAGTGCAGAATCGGTTTGCTCTACTGACTGCTAGTATTCCAGTGACTCAAGTGAGTAAGAGTATGACAAATATGTGAGGTTGAGTAAGACGAATATGTTAGCTTTTAGACGAGAGAGAGAGAGAGAGAGAGAGGTGGGGTTTAACGTCCATCCGACACAAACTAGGTCATTTCGGGACGAACATATGATCCAATTTTATTTCAATAATTCGCTTGCGCGTAGGAGTCTTTAGCTGTGGGGGGAACCGGAGGACCCGGAGAAAACCCACGAGGTTGGACAGGCGACCCTACTCCTTGTCACGTATAACCGGGGAATCGAAACCACGTCAGTTGACTCAATGATAGACTTTGTGATAAACCATTCAGCCCCCCCCCCCCGGTTAGCTTTTAGAAACATTGTTTTTCAAATTACGATGGTCCGATGGTTGATATTGTTTGGCTGTGTGAGGAATTTGTGCTCTATTAGGAATACAAGGAGTAGAATGTCAACGAAGTAGTTGTTCTTGTTAACGCTCATTCTGCCTTGCTCTTAGAGCTATGTTTTTACACTACTATTTACTTTCGTGGTCTCCTAACCTTAGCTATTATGTAGACTTTAGGAACCATATTGACCATTCATTCTATCATAACACATTCAGCTGTTCAGATATGAATTCGGCAACCCCGAAAACCTACAGTTTAACGTATTCCAAGATCACACTACTAACATCGAAATGTGGCCCCCATTTTGAATATATCGGTTATATTGGAATACCTTTTGGTCGCAACAAATTTTATGCTAACTGTGAGTTAGGGGACCCCAAAAACCTATATGTCAATATATTACACGACTATGTAGGGAACTTTATGATTTTCTCGCCAAAAATGAGCCCCGCTTTTGAATTTGGCCCATAGCGGAATTAGCCGTCACTTTTGGGAGGGAAACCCCAGCTCATTGGATTCAGTGGGTCGAATTCTTATAGAAACCACCTTCAAACCTAGGTCCGAAAGAATTTGTGCAGATTTTAACAAACTAAATGTCTCATGACGGACATCTTGAATATTTCAATTTCCCCAAGGGTGTCAGGATGGCATCAACGGGGTTCTGATTCTACATATATTAATGATATATAATCCATCAAGAAACATTAGGTGAACTATATTTCCAGGTTTGTCGACCTGCTGCTGGAGTATTCGGACTAAAATGTGTCAAACTCGTAATGAATCTTAAAACGTTTTTATCTGATGGATTGACAGATTTGTCTCAGATCATTTTGAATATACCCAATAAACAAATCAGTTAAATGGGCAAAGATCTCTAGAGCGCTATTTCCTCTTTAAATATTTACCAAAACTATATTTATTTCTAATCGGCTTCTACACTTAATATAACACGGTACAGTAATACTTCAGTCAATGTTAGAGATGATGGTCTCTAATCGTCAAACCGATAAAAAAAATATATTAATTATAATAAATGAAACGAAAACTCACCGTTAGTTGTTAGTTGAGCCAAATATATCAATAATAAAATAAAAGGCGTAACCTTTTTGGTCATGCTGTTTCATACAAGTAGGAATACTTTACGGACGAAACTTTTGATACAATAACACGGTACCATAGCCCACATCACTTATATACATAGCCGCGTTTACAGTCACCTGATTTAAATCAATATAATGATAAAATTATTCTGTAAGAACGACAGTAATTGAGCAGGCTTTTACTTCTAGGCTGGTAAGATATTTTGTAATTCCGCCCTCTAGAATATAACGCGGCTGTAATTATATAGTTGAGAATATAATGTCGGTATATTGTAAAACTACAAAATTATGTATATTAGATCTAGATTTGTTACATCTCACAATTCTCCAAGTAAACTGCACTATTATATTTATACAATTTCTGAATATGGAAAGGACGTTCGTAAGTTTTATTAACTTTTGTCCAATCTAATTGTACCAATAATTATTATTGTTGATGCAATAAAATATGTTTTAAACTGTAAAATTCGCAAAAGGGAATAGGTGAAATCCGTCGGGTTTCTTTGAGAAAAAAGAGAGAGGAATGGATTTTAACGTCCACGCGACACAAAGTAGGTGATTTTGGGACTAATACATGGTTCAATTTTATTTCAATAATTCGCTTGCGCGTAGGGGTCTTTAGCTGTGGGAGGAAACCGGAGAAAACCCACGAGGTTGGACAGATCATGTGATTGCACGTGCACGCGTTAAACCACTAGACCCCACACCCACCCCCGGGTTTCTTTGACGGAACCATGTTGATATAACAAGCTAATTTTTAACTAAAATAGGGATCAGAGATATATTAAGATGTATTCGGCTGTCGTCTATAATTTCAACATGTTCACCCCATTACCAATATATCATAATGATAATTTAAAACTATCACCCACGTACAATCTAGTATGATAGCAAAATAAATAAGGTTCCGAAGGACGCATGTTGGTGTTTGTCGTGTGCGCGTGAGCGTGTGGATGGGTGTGTGTGTGTGGGGGGGGGGGGGGGGTGCACGTATGTTGTGGAAATTCAGAAGTGGAGCGGATTGTTGGGATATTAGAATCCAGTAAGCCTAGAGGTAGATGAAGACATTCGCTGCCATTGAAACTGCGTCTCATCGGTACACTACACATTGTATAGATAATGTAAACGACAGTGAAAGACCACTGAATAATCAAAATTATCGCCATCCAAACGAAGTCGCAGCTCTAAACATGGATCCATTTCTTTCTGTGAAATTCTGTGTAGCATAGCCGGTCGAATATGGAAGCTAAACCACTACCACTGCTACACATTCTTTGTTTTCGCTCTAATCGGCCGGGGTGTATACTGTTACAGTTCTTTGATCTTTGACTCTCAATCCACTCAGCTCGATCTATCCAGAGTAGATTGACTGCTGGAAACGTTAGAGAATGCCCTCCAAAAATTGATATGGCTATTTGACCAGACAGAACTAGCTCTGGTCTTTTGTATCCCTGACATCTAGTTAGCTGATTGGTAGATTATGCTATGGCTATGCCAAACCTTCTATATATTTCCGAAACCAACACCTATATGACTCTATAATTATTCATACAACATGCAATTTACAATATTATCAAAATACAAAATTATATAATATGATTAACAATTTTACTTGTTCAAAGAATAAAGTAATTCACTTTAACAGATTATTGAAAAACATAACTAATGTAAATGTTCATTGATTTTTCTTTCAGTGTCCTAAATCTAAAACACTATAACACTGCAAGTCCTATTTCTAAATAGTATTACAATCGTTTACTCTCAAGATAACTAGTTAACAAATAATGATCATGGCTTCTGGGAATACCAATGTCCTATTCTTAATATTCAGCCTTGCACTTGACGTTCGGCATCCAAGGTTACCAGTTAAACCTTCTTAAATTTTCATCTCAGCAATCAGCAATTGGTAAATTATTATCTGGCCTTGGATTTCTAGTTTTGTGATTTCAGCTACTATGGAGCTTTTCATTCTTCTAAGCAAGGTATTTTGTTAATCACAAATCTCCCCACCCCCAAGAACAACAATCAGCCCTTCGTTGTTGATTGGTTAGGGCAAACTACATTCATCCTCAAATTGAACTATGTCGTTGTTATATCCAGACCAGAAGCTAATTACTCTTAATTTCATCCTCGGTATCCCCAGTGGTTTCATTCCGTTCTACTCCACTAACCCCTGGGTTAATATATGGGGGGATACGTTTTCAAGTTATCCGCCCTTGATGAATGTGCTATTTTTATCGACCAATCCCATAAATCGTTAACTGAAAAGGAATATGGCAAAGGGAAATAACTCTCATTGGACAAGGTTAGGAGTTTGCCTAAATGACAGAAGTCCAAATTATACTAAATGCCTATAATTTAACAACAAATTATATAGTATTAATAGTATTTTAGTAATGAATCCCGGACGTTTATAATATTTAAAAAAGCACAATTTTTAACTATTAACGATTCATAAAAGCTAATAAATTTATCACATTCCGCCGAGTACTTTCGACCGTTGCGGTTTCTTCAGGGCGAATGATAAAGTAAGTGACAATACGTCGTCATAGCGACGTCAAAAGTTACAAGGGATAGTAACTATTTTTAGCATTTTACATTTAGCTTTGCATTAAACATTTTTATAAAACGGAGTCCTTTAAGTTCCAGAAGATGTATATCCAATTTGTTCATTTTATAAATGGGGGAAACTTTAAATTTTCCTTACCCACATACATCAAAATGTCTACTGACAGGAACTGTGCGGTTTTCTGGAATCTTAATGTGCGAGCGACGAAGGTTCATTCTCAGGCATAATTTTTGGTCCGTTTTTCCTTTGTACCGCTCATTGCAACCCCCACAAGTCATCATATACGCATCATGTTCAAACTTGCAGTTCATATTCTGACGAATATAGAATGTTTTTTTCGCTAGAAATCCGAATTTCCGACCCTTCTATGATGTCTTCACACAAACTATACCTTTTATCTCCACATTTGACGACTTTCGGAATATTTATAGTCTGCCGCTCATCGAAGCGTGATGATGTTAAAATCCTTCGTAGATTTGGCGGTTGTTTATAACTACTTAATGGTCTATAACAAGGTTATATGGTATGTTCCTTTTTGTGTGAGATGGATGGCACGAGTAAAATTCAAGTATTGGTAGGTGTCTGTACTTTTATAGTACAGGTCCGTTTCGATTTTCCCGGATAGATGTAGGTGGATGGTGACATCTTAAAAGCTTAAATTATTCTTGCTTTCTTCCATGGTGAATTTTAATGAGGGATCTAGGGAATTAATTATAGCATGAAGATCTTATAGGTCGTTTTCTTCTCCATTATATATGGTGAAACAGTCATCTAAAAAAACGTTCCCAGAATTCTTCAAAGTATTCCTTAGTAGATGGTCCAATTGATTTGTAGAGTAGCGTCTCTAAATACCCAAGACTTAATGTGGCATAAGTTGGGGCCACCTTTGTACCCATCGCAACGCCATGGATTTGGCTGTAGAGTAAAATTGGCTGTAGAGTAAAATTTGTTTGTGATGACTAATTCCAATGCTTCGCGTATGAAGTTAGTTGAAAATCTAGACAGGATATCATCACTATCCGATGGCCTTCATACCTAGAGATAGGTCGATGTTGCTGTACATCAAAACTAACAAGTGTACTACTCGGAAGCGTTTTTTGAGGCAGTTTACTTAAAACGTAGTTCCGTCTCGTAGGTAGCTTGCAGAGTGGCTTCAGTATAATATTGACGGAATTGCTCAAACGTTGGGTTAGACTTTGTGGGCCCCTGCTTTAGCGTGTTACGTTTAATTTGCAATGAGACGTCTTCAACATGATGAACGTCTACGTGCTATTGGCAGACTGTGGAACCGGTACCAACAAACACACAATGTTGACGATAGACCTCGTTCAGGTCGTCCTAGAGCCACCACACAAGCCCAGGATCGATACATTCGTACACAAGTTCTGTGAAATCGAGGACAAACGGCGATTAATCTTTCTGTAAACTTGTACCAAGTTACAGGTATTCGAGTTACACCCCAAACAATTAGAAATCGGCTACATGCAGACCATTTGCATGCACGACGACCACGTGTTGTGCCTCCATTAACTCGCCAGCACATGGCGTCAATGGTGTAGGCAGTGTAAAAATTGGGGTAATCGTTGATGCGCGCGTGTAATGTTCACCGAAATACTACAACCCTATTGTATGGAATTGACAGCATAGAAAACTCATTCATTATTTTTAAAACTGTTCACTCGTTTTTTGAAATCACCAGACGATTCGAGGGACAATTATAACCATTCATTGTAAATATATTTTCACTTGTACATTATTTGCCTATTATTAAACTGTAAATCCATTCCAGAGACAACTATAACACACTCACTGTAAAATAACTGCACTTGTACATTGTATGTTTCTTTATGTAAATACATGTATCTATATCTGACAGGGAGAAGGGTTTAATATAGGCTATGCCTGTTCCCCAATCCCTATTCAGATAGAAATCTGAATAAAAATATTGCATATAAAAAAAAGATAGGTGTGCTCGCGTTTGGAGGCGTGTAAATGAGCGTCATGCTAACGTTAACGTCAGACAGCATGACAGATTCGGGCGTTATGGTGTGGGGAGGAATCATTATGACTGGCAGAACGGACTTGCATATTGTTCAAGGAAGGGTCACTGGTGTGTACTATCGTGACCACATCCTGGCACCGATAGTTGTGCCCTTTGCTCAACGTGCAGGTCGACGATTCATCTTTCAAGATGATAATGTCCGTGCCCAGCGCGCTCGTGTCGTGAATAACTACCTCCAGCGTCATCATATTGCCCGTATGCCTTGACTAGCCATGAGTCCTGACCTTTCCCCTATAGAGCATGTCTGGGACACGATCGGGAGACGTGTTCTATATTCGTCAACCGACAACACTGCAAGAATTGGCCGTTGTACTGCAAGAGGGGTGGGTCAAATTGCCCCAAATCGTGATTGAACGGTTGATTAGGAGCATGCCACGACGAATTGCTGAATGTCTAAGGATTGGAGAAGCAATTACTCAGTATT